GAGGCCAAACTTCCGATGGGAGTTCCGCTCCGCTGCGGCGTGCTCGGCGGAATAGCGACGTTCGTGGGTTCGAGCGATGCGCCGAGGTGGAGGGGGCTCCGGGGCCTTTTATTTGCCTTCACGAGGCCACCTTTGGCCCCGGATTTGAGGCCGAGGCGATCAGCAAGAAGCACTCAACGTTGGCCGAGGCGTTGGATATTGGCGCGCGGACTGGGAGCGAGTTTGTCGTGCTGAATCACTTTTCGCAGCGCTATCCGAAGCTGCCGGGGCTGATGGAGGGGCATTTCAAGGAAAGTACCGTGGAGGTCCGGCCGAAGCGCGTCCGCACGATGAGTCGGACCGAACTAGGGAAGGACTCTCTGATCGCATCGACTTCGTGTGCGGCGCCCCTTAGCGAAATAAAAAGGGGCGAACACGGTGGTGGAAGCGGCCTTGCCGATGTCGAGGATTCGGTTTGTTCTAAAGTGGAGCCATCTGAATCACCGTCTATGCATTCGTTCGCGGAGGTGTACGACCACACTGCGCAGAGGATTACCGACCAAAATCAATTCCCAGAAAGGATTCTACAACATCCGGCCTCGAACGTATGTTTCGCGTTTGATTTAATGCGATTGTCGTTTTCAGATCTTCGTGCCGGATCGGTGGCGTCGCGTCTGCCCATTTTTGTGCGTCTTCTGGAAGAATATGAGTCCTGGGGTGTGGGCACCACCCAACGACTGCGGGAGGATGGATAGGACGAGTAATACACCAGCATAGTGGGTGCGGAAAGGAGTACTGGGATAGGGGTTTTAATTAATAAAAACACACCCACGCCTATATATTGGTAATACTTTCAGTAATCAACTTTAGTTTTCGTACACGATATTCTTAAAATAACAGGAGGTTGGCCTCGTGGTGATTTTTACGTGCGTGTGTCTTTGGGTGCCCTAATGCAATTGGACTCTGACAAGTTTGGTTTGAGTTTCAAACAGTGCGTCAACCACAATCAAGAAGGCATTCATGGATAAATTTCTACCCAATATTCGTATTATAGTTATTTAACAGAGTAAAGTAAAAGGGTACTTTTATTTGGGCTTTTGAATTGTGTTTTATTGCATGCCACCTATCATTCTGCTCTTTTTTTTCCCCAATGTTTCACTAAATACATCAAGGAACACATTATATAAACGGGGAGTGAAGGAAAATTAGAGTGCACCTACTAAGTTATTTTTCTTCTCCAAATAAAGGATAATTTGCCAGTTTTAGTTGCCTAATTTACCATATTTTGTGTTTTGTTAATACTTCATAATCTAGAACAACATAGAATACATTTTTTCTTAACAAATTTAATATCGACAAAATGTCATGGCGTAGTTCACATTTATTTCGTTTCATCACGATAAGGAAAGGGTGCAAGCGTTCAGTTGGGCTACACATTAGGATACTTTATTCCTTATCGTGCTTGTGGTTGACTAAACTAGATGCACTAGAGTATACTGAGCAAATAGTGGGCGATACGTTGAACGATTCATTGGGTGCATTGGCAGCCAACGACCCCCCACCTCATTGGCCTTCTCGTCCTTCGATGTATCTCCAAAACCCAACAGGCCCTCATTTCCTCCGCCGCAGCGTTGCCACTTTTGGGGCGAAGCCACTTCGAGCGGCCCGCCATCGGCCATTCAGCCCGCTTTACACCCCCCTGCGCGGCGCCCACGTTTCCTCCACCTCCCATCGACCCGCGGCGGAGGAATGGGCGGAAGCCCCCCTCCCAAACCTCGCGGACCACGAGGAGGAGGAAGCCGTCGGGAATGCGATTCCACCTTCCCAACCCGGGCGCCGCAAGATGAGCGGTCGAAATAACCGCACGACGATGCGTCGGGCCCCGTTTGGCGGCCTCGAGGCCCTCCAGAAGTCCTCGCGCGCGGCGAAACCGCCGAAAGGAAAGGCCGCCGCCCCCGCGGAGGACGCGAAATCGCCCGCCTCCGCGAAAGTCTCCTCGCCGGCCGCGCGGACGGGGAATGGCGAGCAAAGGCGGCGGGAGGTCGCGGCCCTCGCGCGGCTTCCCCAAAGCGCGCTTCGGGCGTCGATCGCCCGCAAGCGGCTTTTCATCCAACAACGACGCCAACAACGGGAGCTGCTGCGGAAAATCCAGTCTTCCACCCCTTCACCGGTCCTCAATGAGGGGAATAAACCCAACGCCCGGCCTCGTTCCGGCGAATCCGCCGCGGTCGATGCGGCCCCGAAGGCGAAACGCCGCAAAACGACGCCGCCCGCGTTGGGAAGCCCCCCTCCCGCCGTGGTGAGCAATCCGCTTTATTTCCCCGACTACCGCGAGCAGGTGCTTGTCATTTTCCAACAATTAGGGGAGATCAACATCGCCCTTGGGGAGAAGTATAAAACGCAGTCCTACCAGGTCGCGGTGGAGCGGCTGAAAAGGGAGGAGAACATTTTTAAATTGCTCCCTCCGCACCTGCGGCCGCTCCCCGCGAACGCGCACGCGCTCGGGACCGAGGTGGAGGTCAACGAACTCCTGGCAAAGCGCGCGTACGCGCTGGATCCCTCGCGGTCGATTCCCGGGATCGGTGATAAGCTCCGGCGGAAGATTGTGGAGATCCTCACGACCGGAGACCTGGAGGAGCTCCACACGTTGGAGGCGAAGCCCGTAATTCGGGCGATTCGGCAGCTCACGCAAGTCCACGGCTTCGGCCCCCGCACGGCGATGTCGTTTTATAAAGACTACGGCATCAGCAATGTGGAGGAGCTCAAGGCCTACGCCGAGCGGCAGGACGGGGCGAAGGGCCCCGACGCCGACGAGGCGGCCAGCGGGAAGAAAGGCAAGCGCAAAAAGGCCTTTCACCTCACCGACGCGCAGCGGATCGGGTTGAAGTACTACAAGGATATTCAACAACGAATTCCCTACAACGAATGCCGCCTGCACGAGGCCTTCCTGAAGCTCCGGCTGCGCAAACATCTCGGCCGGGACTACGAGTTGACGGTCTGCGGGAGTTATCGCCGCAAGGTCGCGACCTCGGGCGATATCGACGTCCTCATCACGAGGCGGGATGGGCTCGAGAAGCAGGCGGATCCCTTGGCCTCCTCGCAGGACGCCCTGGGGGTTTTTACCGCGGCCTTGCAGGACGAGCGGTATATCGAGGCCACGTTAGCCCAGGGCCCGACGAAATTTATGGGCGTCTGCCGGCTTCGCGGGCTTAAAAAGCCCGGGGCCTCGGACGAGGGGCCCGTGGCGACCCGTCGCTTTCACGCGCGGCGTATTGACATCCGCTTTGTCGACGCCGCGAGCTATCCCGCCGCGATGCTGTATTTTACCGGAAGTAAAAACTTCAACGTCATCATGCGCGCGGAGGCGATTAAGAAGAATTTTATCCTTAATGAGTACGGGCTGTTTCGCAATCGCTCCAGCAGCGCCGCGGAGACCGGGCGGCTGCACGAGATGATCGGGCAGCTCTCCAAGGCCCAGTACTACACCAGCAAAAAAGGCGCCCTGAGTTATTCCCACAGCAACCTCCCCACCGACGAGGAGAACGATGGCCCCGCCGCGACGAGGGATAAACGCGGGCGGCCCGGGTCCGGCAAGATGCAGCCGGCGGAGCTGATGGAGGTGCTCCGGGAGGTTGAGGCGTTGCGGGTGAAGGTGCAATCCGAAAAGGACATCTTCGACGCGATTGGGATGAGCTACGTTGAACCACAGAACCGGAATCTTTAATTAAACCAAGCATAGCAGTTTTCGTTTTGCCTTTCCTCATTCCCCCTCCCCCCCCCTTGTGTTTCCTCCAATTTATTTACAGCAAGCTTAACAATTAAGATTACATAGAGTTGAGTATAGACCCTTACATTTCTCTATACATTATGTTTTTTTTCCCTTTTCATTCCCCTCCTTCTGTAGAGGGAAGATGTTTCCTCGTCACTCATATCGAGTGGCTTGAAATTATCGGAAGGAAAATATTTCATGTGCACTTTAGGCTTTTACCCTTCTTGAACAGGGTGGAATGTTATTAGGTTTGTTTTGTGGATGTTTCTTTATTTCTGATGCGCTGAAGTTCACTCGTTCTCATTCCGCTTTATTATTATTATTTTTTTTACCCCTTCACTCTATAAGCAAGCGCTATTATTCCCTTCTTCCTAAGCCCCTACACCTGATCGCATTTCACGTGAGCATCCTAGTTAATCCGTATATCCCGACGCCCTCCCAATGCTCCGCCGCTTTGCCTTCCTTCGCAACCACCGCGAGAACATCATTCGGATCTTTCGCGAGATGGCCGATTTAAACAACGCCTTAGGGGAGAAGTACAAGGTCGTCAGCTACAGCCGCGCGATCGAGAGCCTGAAGACGAACCTCGACAAGCCGCTGGACAGCCCGGCCGACCTGAAGGCCTTCTCGGGCTTCGGCGCGAAGCTGCTCAAGAAGGCCGACGAGATCATGGCGACCGGCAAGCTGGAGGAGCTGGAGAGCAAGACGAAGCCGAAGCTGAAGGCGATTCAGGAGCTGACGCAGGTCCACGGCTTCGGCCCCCGCGCCGCCGCCGCGCTTTTTGACCGGGAGGGCATCTTCACCGTGGACGAGCTCCTCGCCCGGGCCGACCGCATCCCCTCGCTGACGGACCAGCAGCGGGTCGGCATCAAGTACTTCTACGACATCAACGAGAAGATCCCGATGCAGGAGAGCGTGCAGCACGAGAACCACCTCGCGGCGCAGTGCGCGGTGCTGCTGGGGAGCGAGTATGAGGTGCAGATCTGCGGGAGCTACCGCCGGCGGCACCCGTTTAGCGGCGACGTCGACGCGATTCTCTCGCGCACCCGCGAGGCCCCGGCGCTGGCCGAGCCCGTCGCGGCCACCGGCGTCCTCTCGCACTTCGTCGACCACCTCGGGGGGCTGGGCTACCTGGAGGCCACGATGGCCCAGGGGCCGCTGAAGTACATGGGGATGGGCCGCCTGCCCCCGCGCGTCGTGCGGGATAAGGCCGGCAACGAGAACCAGAAAACGTACAAAGCCCGCCGCGTCGACATTCGGCTCATCGAGACCAAAAGCGTCCCGACCGCCCTGCTGACCTTCACCGGGAGCAAAAACTTCAACGTCATCATGCGCCAGGCCGCCATCGGCAAGGGCTACTTGCTGAACGAGTACGGGCTCTTTAAGCTCGGGACCCCCGAGGAGGCCCGCGAGCTCTACGAGAAGCTCGGCGTCCGCGGGAAGAACGCGGGGGAGGAGCTCGGCGTCCCCAAGGACGAGCTCGAGGACAAGCGCGTCCCCGTCACGTGCGAGCAGGACGTCTTCGACGTGCTGGGGATGCCCTACGCGAGGCCGGAGAACCGCGACCCGTAAAGGAATAAAACAAAGGGAGAGAAAAGGAAAAAGAGGCCGCCTGGATGGCCCACCCGAGAGGAAAGCGGTTTCGGCATCACGACACTCACAGCCCACACTCACCCATGTCGCATTCCTCACCCCCTGGGGGGGGGGAATGAGCTACGGGATGGGGAATTGTCGGTGTTCACGTGTGTTGGATCACTTTTTTTGCTCGAAGGGTTTTTTTTTTCCATGGTTTCGTTTGTTCTTTTTTTTTTTCAGGAGAGAGGGGTGTGAGTGGGAATGTGGCTTCCTTACTAAAATATCAATAATAGAGTGTTTTTTCCCATTTTAATTCGGATGACTAAATTTCGTACCTTTCCTATAGTGAATGGGGCTGAACATAGACTGTGCCATGAAGTATTATTTATGGGAAAGGTAGATTGCTCTATCGAATTTATTTTTACTATTCTTTTCATATATTACATAGAAAAAGATTCTTATTGTGAAGATATCCATCAGCGTGCTGCAGGTGGGTTCTTCTGTGGTTATTATTATCAATTGTGTGATTTCTTATCCACGAATGTCAAGATACACCGAAAGGGATAAAATACACCACGCGAAGTAGGTATAAGAGGGATGATACGCGTAAGAAAATAGCTTACTTGCAACATATATATATATATATCTATATATATGAAAATAGAAAATATAGTTAAGTGTTTGTTTACTTTTGTGAACGGGTAGAAACGTAATTATTTCTTTCGAGGTGTGTGTTCATTCGGGAAAGGTATCCTTTCCAGCGAAGTCGCAGGTGGACCCCATATTCCCAATCCATCTTTCCTTTTTCTTTCCTTTCCTTTAATTCATAGCTCTAGTGACCCGATTTCGCGACCGTTTGAACCCGCTCGCCGCATGTTCGAGGTTCGTTCGCTGGGCGACAGCCGAGGCCGGGGCCTGGTGGCGACGGTGCCCATCCCGGCCCAGACCATCGTGACCGTCGCGCTGCCCGACATCGCGGTGCTGTACTCCGCCTTCGCGGGCTCGCACTGCGCGGGCTGCTTTACCGTGCCCTCCCCGGACGGGCAGTGGGCCTGCCCGACCTGCGATCAATTCATCCTCTGCCCGGACTGCCGCGCGCTGGGCGAGGCCGCCGCT